GGGTGATATTATAACTCAGAAAAAAACTTTAAAAAAAGGCAATTTCAACAACAACAAAAAATACTAAAAAGTATTTATGTCCACAATGAAAAATTACAGGTTTGCTTATTTCCAAATATTCTATTTTTCTGGTAATCATACTAGTTGAGCTTTAAAATGACAGATTCATGGATGTTGAAAGGTAGTGATCATTACTGCAGATTATAATCTCAGAACTACTGAATCCAATAGCTTTGGATTCTCATGCTTTGCCCACTGATATGCATGACTCTGTGCAAGTTACTTAACTTCTCTAAACTTTAGTTTGCTCATTAGTAAAATCAGGATAATAAAGTATTAATGAGAAAAATATATATGTAAGAACATTCATTAACTTTTAAAAAATTATTACCTAAAATACTATAGAGAAATAAGTACTTTAAACAATTGGGTATCTTCAACAATTGTATTCCAAGCCATTAAGCCAAAAAAGGAGGTGGGGGCGGGGGGGGAGGTGGGAGAGGGATGTGTTTACCTAAATTCCTATAATAAAATTATAAATCTTATACAGAAAATGGACAATTTAAGGGAATTCACTTTATCCTATTCTAATCAGTAAAGCACAAAGGTAACGTGAGTTTTTATGGCAATAGTATATTGGTATGGAACCTCTTTATAATTTCCCTTGGCTTAAAGGCCACACATTTATAATTTGACAACAGGTTGGAACACTGAGCCAAAGAACAAAGCAACGCTAACTCACAGGCTCTATTGGTTTTAATTAATTGGATAAAACACTTTGCTAAAAACAGCATACATCTCTCTAATCTTAACATATATCTCTGGGAGAAGTAAATTAAACTCTAAAACTTCAAAAGTAGATTTAGTCGGGATTCCAAAGAAGCTCACTTTATTTTTATTTTGGTAATCTTATCTGAAAGAATTATGTTAAACGTGGTGAACTGTTATTGGCTTATACCACTATTATATACCTCCATCCCCCATTATACTATGCTTTTTTTATATACCTAGTAGTAGCGAATGGATTGTCCAGACTGAATCACCATTATATTTCATATAAATTTATGAGAAAGAAAATGAATAGTCTAGAGACATATGAAAACATGCTCAAAGTCACTAATCATCCGAGAGATGCAAAACAAAACCACAATGAGGTACTCATCTCACACCTATATGAATGGCTATCATCAACAAATCAACAAATGACAAGTGCTGGCAAGGATGCGGAGAAAAAGGAACCCTCGTGCACCGCTGGTGGGAATGCAGACTGGTGCAGCCACTGTGGAGAACAGTAGGGAGTTTCCTCAAAAAAACTAAAAATGGAACTCCCATTTGACCCAACGATCCCACTTCCAGGAATATATCCCCCAAAATTAGAAACACCATCAGAGAGGATATATGCACCCCTATGTTCATAGCAGCACAATTTACAATAGCTAAGATTTGGAAACAGCCCAAGTGCCCATCAGCAGATGAGTGGATTAAAAAACTGTGGTACATCTACACAATGGAATACTATGCTGCTGTAAAAAGGAAGTAACTCCTACCATTTGCAATAGCATAGATGGAGCTGGAGAGCATTATGCTAAGCAAAATAAGTCACTTGGAGAAAGATAAATATCACATGATCTCACTGATTTGTGAAATATAATGAACAACATAAACTGATGAACAAAAACAGATCCAGAGACAGAGAATCATCGATCAAACCATCAAACCTCAGAGGGAAGGTAGGGGAGGGTGGAGGGAAGGGGGGCGAGATCAACCAAAGGACTTGTATGCATGCATATAAGTACAACCAACGGACACAGACACTAGGGAGGGGTGAGGGGGGATGGGGTGGGGGGATAAGGACACATATGTAATACCTTAATCAATAAAAAAATAAAATGTATAGTCTAGAAAACAGAATAGTTATAAAGAGAGACAGGGCAACCTTCAACTATTTAAAAGTCATGTTAACAAATAATTGGGGGAATGCCAAGGGGGGGAAAGGAGACATATGTAATACTCTTTGTAATACTTTAAGCAATAAAACAAAATTTAAAAAAAAAGTGATGAAATGTAAAAAAAACCCACACAATTAATCTTCCCTGCCAAGTTACAAGGAGGCAGATTTTAATGCAGCGGTTCTCAACCTGTGGGTCGCGACCCCTTTGGCGGTCGAACGACCCTTTCACAGGGGTCGCCTAAGACCATCCTGTACATCAGATATTTACATTACGATTCATAACAGTAACAACATTACAGTTAGGAAGTAGCAACGAAAATAATTTTTGATTGGGTCACAACATGAGGAACTGTATTTAAAGTGCCAGAAGGTTGAGAACCACTGTTTTAATGTAATATGAAAAAAGATTTTATCAAGAATTGAAATGGGCTTATAACCTTTCTGGAGGACATTATGACAGGCTGAAATAATATGAGAAATCCCTGCACCTTTTAATTCAGTAAATTTTAAACATAAAAGAATGACAGTACAGTTTATATTAGCAGAAAATATTGAAAGCAACCTAGATACTATTTAGCCATGAACAGTGTTCACTTAATAGTATAAGACAACGAGAAAATGCTCAAGATAAAATAGAAAAAAAGTATACAAAACTACCTAACAAGTAATGCAAATTCTGTCCTCCTAAGAAAACATTTGCATGTATAAAAATAATTGGAAAAGTAATTAAAAGAAAGTACATCATAATTTATCAGCTGATTATTCCTACATGTAGTGGTCTTGCAGGTACTTTTTGTTCCAAATTTTAATTCATGAGCACATATTACTTTAATAAGATGCTGAATAATCATCTATCAGGAATGTTTTGAAAGAAATTGCTATTCTTGAATAGTAAAATGAGCTATATGACTCCCAATGTCCCTTATAACTCAAAGCTTCTACAACTCTAAGAAAACTTTCTACAACTAATTTAAAAATCAATGAGCCTCTGCCAAGAACAGAAAATCTAAAGATAAGTTTTCAAAGAAGGATGGACAGCCAAGAGTGATATTACTTTCTGAAGGAACATCAATATCCTTTGGCTAATAGCTCTTTTCTTAGATAGAAAATGGGCAGTGAACCTAAATGAGTTGGACAAACAAAACAAACAAACAAAGCAAATACAGTATAGAATGAATCTGCTATTGCCCAAAGAAGCAGGAGGAGGAGGAAAAAGGAATGAAGGTTTCTCCCTTATTTTTACCAAAAGGACCACTGCCTAGATGATGATATAATCTGTGATTAATATAGTATAGTGACTGATTGATGTCTACAGCCATGGAAGTTAGCTAATATTTTCATCTGGTAGGACTATAAACCAAACAGGGATGGAGTGGGGGTGGGGTTGGTCTAGCATTAAGAAAGTCTCTTGTTTCTTTAAAAAGAATATCTAATTTTATCAATTTGAGTAATATCAGAATTAAGTGACCTTTGGTAGTTAAATCACAATCTCAATTTTCATCTAAGAAAAGAAAGTAAAACATGAAAAACAGAGCTAATTACAAACCACTGGCCAGGATCATAACAACATAAAATATTATCACCATGCATTTCAAATATTATCCATTCTAAGTCAAATAAGACAGATTCATGAAATAACTATGATAATATCATAGATAAGAAATCTAAAACTCAAATCAATGGAAAAAATAATCCCCTTGTGATAAGTAAAGGTAACCTTGTTACCAAGAACAAACCATAGAATATCATATACTTTTTACCAGAGATAAGAATGTGTAATAAACAATATGTAATAGAATATAACTAACATTTGGATGAAAATGCACTCCTATAATTGCAAAGAGAAAATAAAATAGTGAAGTGTAAATTACTCAAAATATTCAGCGAAATCAGTAAGACATTTCTATTTCACAGTATTTTATTTATTTATTTATATGCATATAAATATATAAGTAGATATATGTATATATTTATTCCTGCATATATAAGTATATGTATACATATACCATACAATCTTTCTTGCTAGTTATATGATACATTAGTTAAAGATAGTTAAAATGAAATATTTATGATAGTTTTCCGATATTTAGAATATAATGAGACTTGGAAAATAATATGTGGTTATATACAAAGATCAAGAGAACATAACTTACAGAATCTGGTCAAATTACACAGTTTTCCTTTTTGTTTTTAATAAATGAATGATAGACAAAAAGGGGGGGGTCCTAAACACTATAATTTCCCCACCAGTTACCATTAATTTTTTAAAAATCTTTCCAAAATTTAAACACAAATTTATTAACAAAAAAGGAGAGAAAAAGAAACTGTCGGTATTAAACATTTACCCTTAAAGGATTCACCCTATCAGAAAAGCATGGCAGAAATTAGCACGTGAAAAGTACTCAGAGCTTTCTAATTAGTATATGAAAAATATACACATTTTAAAAAATTAAAATAAAAAATATGCTAGAAACAGTTCTAATATAATCAAAGAATGTACTATATTCAACACAACTGCATAAAATCTGTTTTTTCCTATTTATTATTATCTAATTCAGAAACCATTTTTGAGGCAATGTTACTTGACCACCACCCATTTCCTTTTGTGACAAATGATTCAATACCCAGCATTTTCAACCATCTTTCCAATGCTGGAGAATTTAAAACTCACTACCTTGATGAAAGCGTTAAAAAAAATCAAATAAATCAGTATTTCTCTAACAACTATAGCACCTGAAAATAATCAAATTCTGAAAAACATGCTTCATCCTTAAAACAAACAAATAAAACACTCCCTTAAATATCTCTTTACAAATGGCATCTGAAAAATAAATATGTTCAAGAAAATACTAATTGACATATGTTCTGACAGGAAATAGCAATATACAATATTTTAAACATTTTGAAAAGGCAGCACATTCTTCTGTGTATTGCAAAAGACTCCAGACCTGCAATCGTGCTGCAGTCATGAATAAACATATTCCTCTGAAGTTCTAAGTATGTGTGGCCATATCAAGGGCACATCCGATTTGAAATGGATTTACATTACCTCCAACTTTAGGGCCACCTGCTGAACCAGGCTTCCTTGCACTGTTGACAGGATTTCCGGATGTTTTAGGTGCAGGAACCTTGAAGGCTGAAGCAGCTGATGATGGCCTATTTCCATCCACTGATTCTTCATCATCAAAGCTTTTATCTGTACAAAGCATTAGCAAAATGTATCTTAAAAAATCTAAGCTTTGCTTCGTTTTCCATAAGGCTCAAAAAACAAATAAAGCTACATGTAAAATCATAACTTTGTGAGATATATAATACAAAATAAAGCTCCTTTGAATAAGCATTTATATAATAGCTAACACTATATAAAATAACAAAGTGTAATTTAAAATCAGGTTGCAGTATTGCCATATTTACTACCTATGTCTATAAAGTCAAAAGATAAAACCAAATATATTAACTCTAAAGATAGAAAAAGCGTTTTTCCTTTTTTACTACTAATAAGCATTTTCTGCCAGCTCCTCCCATAGTGCATCTTCCAGCACACCCTGCCTTAGTCCTTACACCCAGATTCTGCAACTTACAATCACAGATCCGTTTGCAAATCAGTCGCCTCATTCCTCTGAAAGCTCTTAATTTTCCTCACCCTAGGATGCTCCCAATGGTTCACATGGCCAAATGCAGTAGATTTGAGACTAATCAAAGATTCTATCAAAAATAGATAGAAACAACCACAGAACCACCACTGAGGTTTGTGCCGGCATTTTTCTTTCTCTTCCCTGCACTAGGTACTGTAACAGCCAATCAGCTATAAGGTGACATCATCTTATGGCAGCTACTGCTAGATGAAAGGTAAAAATTCTCCATGTATTTTAAAAATCTCTTTGCAGCTGCAATCCTTATTCTGTATCAAAATTTCAAAGGCATTCAATACTACAGGTTTATAAACCTAAATTTGTATTCTCTTATTTAGCTTACTTGAAAATTTATACAAATAGAAAATAAGATTTTATGCAATATTCATTCTGTTGATGTGCTTATTATTGCATCATTATACCATAGAATATCACAGTGCTCATTAGTGTACCTAATTAACTCTGTAATCTAACAATTCGCTGTTTATTTAGGTCACAGAAACCAAACTAAACAATTTGTTCTCATAAATGATTCAAAAATATTCCATAAAGTTCCTTTTATAATCTTCATGAATGACCACACTAGTATCATCTCCGTATATAAAATGAAACACCCCCACTTCCACCCCCACCCCCACAAGGTATATGCATTTTATTCGTCGGAGAAGATGGTTTTCTCTAGGACCCTGCACAATCCAACCAGGACAAACAAGATGGGCGAGGCAAAGAGGCAGCTTTACCACAGGCTTCAGATCAATATGCCAGAATCTTTCCCTTTCAATCCGCTTCCCTTACCTATGCAAACACCCAAATCAAGGAGGAATAATCATCCTTTTAATCTTAAATATATATTTAAAGGAAATACACCAAACACATGTTAAAAAACTGTTTAATTAAAAACAAGAGAGTCAAATAGACAACCTAATATAAAGCCACATTCCATTTCAGCAAGTGTTTTCCTTAAATAGCACAACTTGTAGGAAAAAAGTACCTTCTAGTTCAGGTGGGGAAGGTCCAGCCCGCAGGCCATATAAGGCCTGCAAAATCATTTGGTCTGGCCCTGACAAGGCAACTGCAAGTGGGACACAAAATTCAATAAATCTAGGAGCTTTTTTCATAGAAACATAAATTTATATTAAGTGAATTATATTAAGCGAATGATGTTATAAATATCCAAATGACTCTTGGCAGAAAAAAGATTCCCCACTCTTGTTCTAGTTAAACAATATATTTTTCTTTCTTAGCATAATATTATAAGGTAGCCAGTGTGGATCACTTAAAACCTGTGCTCTATGTAGACTGCTGTGTTAAAAACACTAATACAATTCCAAATAAACTTTTTTTTTTTGCCACCACCATCATGTAAAAAATGTAGCTAAGAGACACTGTAGACACACAAATCTAAGGAAAGATGAGTATTGAAACAAAGTAGCCAGAGGTTCCCATGGAAACAGTGCTCTCTTCCTACAAACACACAAGAATTTAAGAGAGTAAATGTCTCTACTATTTAAAAAAAATTAACTCTTAAGATTCTCAAGCTACTGAGAAATTAGTTTTTAACTTATCAAAATAAGGCCAAGAAAATATACAAATTATAACTACGCAACTCAATGAATTTTCACAAAATGAACAATCCAATGTAACCAGTCTCCAGAATAGATCATTATCAGCATCCTGTGAGCACCCTCACTGAACCTCCAAAATTCACCAGTTCCTACTGAAGTAAACTGGTCTTAACTTTTAACACCATAGTTTGTTTTACCCATCTGTGAACTTGATATAAAAGGAATCACACAATAGGTACTCTGGTACCTGGCTTCTTTTCACTCAATATAATGTTTGAAATATTCATTTCATTACTTATAGTTTTCTACTATATGAATATATCGCAATTTATTAATATCCATTCTACTATTGATGAACATTTGAGTTGTTGCCAGTTTGAGATGAATTCAAAGATGTATATGGCAACCTCTAGTGCCGGGAGCCGGTCCATCCTTGCTGTTTCAAGGGACCTGGCATATATGGCATACTGTTCTTAATATGTTTGCTCACCTTCTTGGCACTATGTGTTTTAACCAAGGTCTCCTCTCTGAGAAAGGTTGTTTCCCCAGGTAGGGATTTTCCCCTGAAGTTAGGGAGGGAATAAAACCCCTCAACTAAGTGCCAGGTGGGTAATTAATCACTTTAACTATGAACAATCGTGCTTAAGCTACATAATCTTTACTCCCTGGAATGAAGATAAGAAACGCCCTAACCTTTGTAATTGAGATTGATAGGATTGGAATCAACTGGTATAAATACAGATGTAAGAAGACAGAACCAAGAGAGACAGAACCTAGGCACAGAACCTACACAGAACGTTCTCTAGAGACAGAAGAACTTCGCTGGAGAGAACATGACAAAAGATCCTGGACAGAAACTGGCCTCAGAACCTAGAGACAGAACCTAGTGAGAGAACATGGCAAAAGATCCTGGACTGAACCTGACTACAGAAATTGGCAAGAGAACCTGACTAGAACCTGGTAACTGAACCTGGCTGGAGAACCTGGACAGAAACTGGCTGGAGAACCTAGCGAGGGAACTTGGCTACAGAACCTGGCTGGAGAACCTGGAGAACCTGGAGAACCAAGCAAGAGAACATGGACACAGAACCTGGCTGGAGATCCTAAGCAGAACTTCGCTGGAGATCCAGACCAGAACTTGGCTGGAGATCCTGGCTAGGCTGCTGATCAACTGAACGCTGTCTCTGTGTCATTCCTTCTTCGCCGACTCCATCCACACCTTTGGGGACCCCTGGACCTGCTGGGGTTGGACTCCGGCACTCTAGAGCAGTGGTACTCAAAGTGTGGTCCAGGACCAGCAGCTGAGCATCACCTGGCAATCTATTAGAAATGAAATTCTTGGACCCTAACCCAAATTTTCTGAATCATAAACTCTGGAGATAGAGGCCCAGTAATATTAACAAGACCTCTTAGTGATTGGTATAAGCATGACCAAATTTAAGGGTCACTGCCCTACAGCAGGAGTTGGCAAACTTAAGTCTATAAAGGCTAGATAATAAATGTTTAGGCTTTACAAACCATATATACTGTCTATGTAGTGTCTCTGTGCAACCACTCAATTATACCACTGTAGTGCCAAAGTAGTGATACACGATATGTAAGCAAATAGGTGTGGCTGTGTTTCAATAAAACTGTATGTATGAAACAGGAGGGCATCTGGATTTAGCCTGCAAGAAATAGTTTGCCAATCCCTACTCTAAAGCAACCACTAAAATAAGAGTAAATAAATAAACTAATAAAAAACTAAAATAATTTTTAAAAATTGAATAGTTAAGAAGCAGGAAAGAAGACAAAAAAGCTAAAACAAGTAGATAAAATAAAAGATAAAGTAGCAAAAATAAAACCAGGTATGCAATAACTACTTAAATGTAAATTAACTAAATATTCCCAGTAAAAGACCAAGACATAATTTTTAAAATAGGTTGCTTAAACAAAATATATTTTACATATAAGGTCACATTAAAATAAAAAATGATAGAGACAGACCATGGCAAACACCAAGCTAAAGAAAGCTGGTATAGCTATACCAACGTCAAACAAGCAGCTTGAAGAAGCATTACTAGAGATAAAGAGAGACTTTGAATAATGATAAAGGAGTAAATCCAGAATCCTAAATCAGAACCCTACATTTTTATGAAACAATACACAGCTTCAAATACATAAAGCAAAAAAAATGAAGAACTAAAAATAAATAAATAGGCAAATCTATAACCATAGAGGGCAATGAAGTTTTACCCGCTCCCAATGAAGTTATATCTTTTTAGTCTATAAGCTAAGAAAATTTGTATAGCTATATCATCACAAGCCCCCAATTAAAAATTTTGTAAATTATTCAGAGGTTCTAAATATTCTAGACTTAAAAATATTTTCTTTTTATGTCATTATCTTTTAATGTATTAAAAGAAATACCAAGTCTGTATTAAATCTCAGGAACTTATTTAAATTATTTTTATAATCTATATACTAAAATAAATCTGTTATTTTTGAGTAAGGGTTCAGGCATACAAGACAAGAATATATGCCTTTGCCGAAACAGGTTTGGCTCAGTGGATAGAGCATCAGCCTGCGGACTGAAAGGCCCCGGGTTTGATTCCGGTCAAGGGCATGTACCTGGGTTGCGGGCACATCCCCAGTAGGAGATGTGCAGGAGGCAGCTGATCGATGTTTCTAACTCTCTATCTCTCTCCCTTCATCTTTGTAAAAAAACAATAAAATAGATTTTAAAAAAAAGAATATATGCCTTTTATTAAAAATATTTTCTTAATAACTATAAAATATCAGAACAAATCAGTTATATTTTTTCCTAGCACCGCTCACTTCCTGAAATACTTTTATGAGTGAACTAGAAGTTGCACTGGAAATGGACAGAACTTTTTCTTATTTATGCTATAATCCCATCACATACAACAATCCTGGGATAACTGTCATAGCTAACTCTTGTTCCTGCTTCCCACCCTTGTCCCCCAGAATTTATTCTCAGCATAATGTGCTGTGAGTTGAACAAAGTCATGCCACACTGCTTCTCAAAATCCTCCGTAGTTTGAGGACCCCTGCTCTAGAATATCTATACTTGGAAGCTTTTACCAGGCAGGCTTGAAAATAACTTCAGAGATGAGGAAATTATTTTAAAAAAAAAAAGTGACACTGATTTTTAAAAACAACCAAGCAGAACTTCTAGAAATAAAAAATAACTGAAATTTAAACTCAGTGGGGAGACACAACAGATTAGACACAGCTCAAGGGCTCATTAATGAACTTCAAGATAAATCACACAAAAAATCACCTAGGATTCATATAGTAGGAGCTTTAATATTTACTGAATAAGGGTCAAATACAGAAAGCAACCTATAAGTTACAATTATGTTGATACCTCTGTTCTTTTTTTTTTTATTATTGCTTAAAGTATTACAAAGGGTATTACATATGTGTCCATTTTTTCCCCCCGCCCTTGACAGTCCCCTAGCCTCCCCTATCCCCCAGTGTCTTATGTCCATTGGTTATGCTTATATGCATGCATACAAGTCCTTTGGTTGATCTCTTACCCCCCTACCTCCTGCCCCCCAACCCTCCCCGGCCTTCCCGCTGCAGTTTGACAATCTGTGATACCTCTGTTCTTACTCCAATGTTTCAAAAAGACAATACTGTGGTTTGGTGCAGAACAGAACAAGATGAACATATACACAAACTAATAACGTGAGCAGGCTCTAGTGGCTATGTGTATGATGGAGATGAAAAAGGAGAGAAGAAGGAGCAGAGGTCCTGATAACAGGAAAAAGAGATGGAAATGGAGGCAGAGAAACAAATATAGGAGGAGGTGATGGAGGAGGAGGAAGAGAGGATGGGGAGGAAAAAGAAATGGTGATAGAAGGGAGAGGGAGATGGAAATAAAGGAGATGATGGAGGAAGAAGTGGGCATGAGGAAAAGGAGGAGGAGGCAATGAAGAGAAGGAGGAAGAAATAGAAACAGAGGAGGAGGAAATGGAGGAGGAAAAAGAGGGAGGAAGGGAGGAAGAGAAGGGAGAGGAGGACAAGCAAAGAGAGGGAGGGGAAAAACAAGCCTAAGTAGGCTAAGGCTTTATCTTATGCTGCCTTCATATTACACTTGCAACTGTTCTCAGTAAGCACTGAGCTCCTCTAGGCTCATGATTCCCTATCAGCATGCCTAAAAGCCAAAAAGCTCTAAAAGTCTTTTGTCTTTTAAATTTATCTGGCAGCAAAATCTGAAATTATTTGAACTCAGCGTATGGCAAAACATAATGTGAACTGACATTAGCCCATTTGTTGTCTTTATTTCCCCTACTGCAACAAAATATGAATGTGCTTGATTATAAGGTCAGCCCCAAACCCAGCTCGGTTGTTATAAAATACATGGTGTATAACTGTATTATTTTCCTAATACTAACATATTCTGAATTCCAAATATAAGTGGTCTTCAAGATTTCAGATAAGAAAGTATGAATTGCCCAGGCCAGGTGGCTCAGTTGTTTGGAGTGCTATCACATATACC